TTGAATAGATAGTTGAGTAGCTCCAATAAATGGGCCGGGCAACAACCAAACCTAGGACTATGCAATAAAGAGCTTGCCCAATTAAGTTGTCCAATAAAAAAGTGGAAAGTATATGGGGGTAGACAAGGGACGGATCCAGCACCTGGAAAGCCCTACGGCATTGCATGCTGGATCCGTAGAAAGCACCTTTTTACTATTGATGAAAGATGAAAGTTTTATATTATATATTTGATAATTCATTGGTTGAAGCTTTCACATTCAAATTGGACGTTTTGGGTTCAAATCTCCTTCAAAGTATTTTATAGTGTTATTTTTCAAATTCTACAATTTTTACAAAAACATTTTATACCCCTGTTTGATTTTCATTCTTTTCTCATTAAAATAAAAAATATCATCGTTATCCATCACATCAAGCCACCAAATTTGAATTTATATCTCTTGTGTGGAATCGTAACGACTATATTTTTCATTCTCATTATTTTAAAAATAGAAATAAACAGAGGCTATATCTCAAATATACTGCCATTTTAGAAGTACAAAAGAACAAACCAAACACACAAATACTGTCCCGATTTGCTCAAGAACTCAGATCAGATTTCTTCCCAAAATTTTTCATTTCTCAAAATCCCTAATTTCATGCATAATCTTCTCCAATGATTTATACAAATTTGCTTTGTTAGTTGCTGTCTCCGTTTTCTTTTGTAATCTTACATTCTAGTAATAAAAGTGAAAGACGGAGATGGCCGTACATTTCAATAAAACCGAAGCCTCTGGCCCTATGGAAGAATTTGGATGTAAAACCCATCATCGCTCTCAGTTAATTCTGTTCTTTTTTGCCATTTTGTGGGAAATGAATTATGAAGGACTAATGGGTTGAATTAATTTTGAATTCTTGAATCGATCGATTTGTGTTTTGCATATTCTGAATCTGGCCAACCAAATTGCAACTCTTCATTTTGCTATTTCTTCTCTGGCAAAATCATCAGCCATTGCCAAGTTCGGCCAGTTAATGTTAGCTCCGCCGTTGCAATCAAGAAGTGGACTGCAGCCTGGACTCTATTAAGAGTTTGTAACTTCTCTGAGCATTTTTGGCCTTTGGGACACAACAAGGGCCCCGTTTGGTTTGGTTATAAATTGGATTTTTAGAAAAAAAAAATTATAAAAATTAATAAACTATGTGGTTGAAAATAGGGCTAAGCAAATCTCCCGAACCGAACCGACCGAACCGAACCCGAACCGAATCGAACCGAACCCGACGGTTCTTGTCAAATTAAATACCCGAACGGATATCTGAATTGAGAACCGACGGGTACGGTTCGATTCTCGGTTCTAGACCTAGAACCGAAGAACCGAATAAGAACCGAATAAGAACCGAATCTTTCTAATTTTTTTTTTTTATATTGAGTAAATCAAATTATTTTAATTTTTTCTAAACAAATTAATAAATTAACAATTTCTAAATCCAAAATTTTGGCCCAATAATTTGTTTCATTTCTAATTTTTTTAATTTTTGGCCCAATTACCCATTTTATTGTTTCATTTCTTAGCCAAGCAAGATCAAATCCACTAAATAACCATAAACACCAACACCAAAGTGCATAACGTTGTCTTGACTTTCGCACTCACTCTCGCAGCCTTGTTAATATTCCAAAACCTATACAATTATCGGTCGACACTATGACCTCCGATCAAAACTGTGACCTTCGCCAACCGAAGCTTTGATCGTAGCGATCATTTGAACAAGGTAGTTTACTAGTCTCTGACATTCCAAAACCATTGAATGTATCATTAGTTGTATTTATATAATGTTTTTATAAATGTTAAAAAATTTAATTATAGTACAGAACCGAACCGAACCCGAACGGTTCCATAATTATATTTGGACCCGACGGTTCCATTTATTAGATACCCGAAAAGTTCGGTTCGGTTCTCTTTAGAACCGAACCGAACCGACCCGCGCTCACCCCTAGTTGAAAAATTGATAAAACTTGTGGAATATATGGCTGAAAATAATTGCAAAAATTCGTGCTAAACAAAAACCAAGGACAAGGAGTAATTATATCACTTAATTGATGAGTTAACTAAGGAACTATTATATATTCACCCTGTAATTCTATTTAACTTTAGGATCGAAACATTGAATGGCGATAAAACATATGATTTAGCACCTCCGGAGAACAGAGAATTATATGTTCCTCGCTAGATCTTATTTCGATAGGTTAAAAGAATTTAGGGTCCGTTTGATTGTAAATGTGGAATTTGGGAAGAAAGAAAATGAATTCCAGGGAATTGAATTATCTAGAAATTATTTTCCTGGGAATTTTCAATTAATAGTGTTTGATTGGTATAATTTTTCACGTGGAAAATGTTGAAATAAAGTGTTTTTTAGTGTTCGTTTGGCTTTGTTTTACATAAAAATTGTCAATTTAAGAGATATCCACTTCTACCATTGTTTCTAGAATTTGTTTTCATTGACAACCAAAAAATAATAATAATAAAAAACTCATCTATATTTTGGTGTTCGTTTAACTTTGTTTTACATGAAAATTTTCAATTAAAAGAATATTCTCTTTTACAATTATTCATAGAATTTGTTCCCATTGTCAAAAAAAATTTTAAAAAAAAATGATAATAAAAAATAAAAAATTGGGTGGAAAATGAAGGAAAACAAGGTCATGTGAGGGGAGGGGGAATTCAAATTCCATGGAAAATTTGGACAATCAAACACCTTTAATTGGATGGAAAATGGAGTAATCAAACATACTCTTAGACTTCTAAAGTGATGAAGACTGTCACTTGTTGACATCAATGTCGTCGTTTACACTTGATGGTGGGGCCATTATTTGGAGAAATATCAAGTAATCATACATTGTTGAGTCCACCATTGATGCCAAGTATGTGACAGCTTATAAAGCTACTAAATTGGATGTATGACCAGAAAATCTTAATGGACATCGAGGTGGTGCTTGTATTTGTACATGTCTTTACACTATATTGTGATAACAGTGGGATTGTGGCAAACGTTAAAGAACCATGAGTTATCAGAGGAGTAAACGCATTGAACGAAAATATCATCTCTTAAAAGAGATGGTAGAGAAAGTGTGGTTGTCAATAAAATTGCTACTAGGATGAACTTGTAGATTCGTTTACTAAGAGCCTATCAACTAAGGTGTTCGAGGGATATCTACAAGACATGAGGTAGCAAGACTTGACACATATATTCTAGGGCAAGTGAGAGATTTATTGGCTTGTGTGTCCATATAATATACTTTGCTATGATAAAAATAATTATTTATAATAAATAAGTTGTGATTTTATTTATTTATTGCATTATTTATTATTGAGCATGCAAATTAAAGTGTTCATGATCACTTGAGACAATATAATTTGGATACTTACGTTGAAAAGTAAAGTGTGACACAACTTATATTTTGATTATAAATAATTTGTTCACAACAAATGAACAAGGGTTGACACCTTGTACTGAAATATTATAATATTGATCGATTCACCATTTAGATTTATGATTTATCCTTATAACAGAAATAGTAAAAGGTAACACTAGCACATTTGGAATGTATTAAATGGACCACGTGTCGAATTTAATTCCATAGTATGACCATGCGGAGAATTAAATCACACTAGACTACTGTGTATTTCATCTAAATCCCTTAACAACATTATGTATATATTTTAATGATTTTAATGGTTTTTTGATTTATCAATGGGTGATATCAATTTAATTAGCCAAATATCTCGATGAGTTAGGAACATGAGAATGAGCGGAGTGCAGAATATGAATTCGTGTCGGGAACCGTCACCCTGAAAAATTGGTAATGACTACTTAAATATTTTTTGTTAAACGATTAAAATCTGAACTCAATGTTTAGTGATAGCTACACTTCGACATCTGTGATTAATTCACAAGACCATTGAAGAAAATGAAACTTAAGTTAGTGGGAATAATTAGAAGGTTAAAACGATCATTTATGCTCGTACCTAATTATCGGATTTCGAATAGGGATAATATATATATACAACAGGTTAGATAAAGATTTATTGGTTTTTGTGATCTTATATATTCCAAAAGTTCATTCTTTTGCCTTTAGTGAAAAAAGCAAATACTAATAATTACATTGTGTGGTATGGATCGACTAGACATGATCTAATTATTGGAGTTTGGATAATATATGTCCGATCAGGTCCCTATGGTGGCTCCATAAAATATTGAAACTTAATTACGATAATTATAATAGTTTTTGGCTTAGTTGTAATTAAAATAAAATTTTATACTTGATTGTAATTACTATGAAAGATGTAAACTTGATTATAATTGTAATTGAGGTTCTAGGACTACACATGTAATTACATGTAAACTAATTGAATTTGAACTTTAATTAAAACTCCTACTTAAATTTTAATTAGAACTCGTACTTGAATATGAAATTATTATTGTACAAGAATTGTAACTATTTTATCTCTATAAATAGAGATTAGATGGAAAAAAATGTTATTTGTATATCGGAGTTGACACTTCGGTATACACTCTCCTCACATGAAGGAATGGGCCCACGAAAATAAAAATATCTTGGGATCCCCCATGTGAAGAGTGCATACCGGATAGTCAATCCCGATGTACGTGTAACAAAACTCTAGATGGAATTAGACATCTTATGAAATTTTACAACATTCATAATATATAATTTCATGGTATTCAAATTTGGAGAGAATAATTATTGTCTCATCTTATTCAATTATTCAGTTCAAGAATTAATTTCTTGATTTAATTAAAAATAAGGTGCCCACCCACCGATATAATCTTAACTTTGGAGAATATTATAGAAGACTTGGAGGTTTGAAGTATTAAGTTCTTAAAATTAAAAAACTATAAGTTCGTAATCCAAAAAATTGGAAATTTGTGATTCAGAATTAATTCAAGAATTAACCATCTAATTTAGGTAAAAAAAATCAATTCCTTTATTTCTGATATAGCATACCCGTAAACATCTAAATGATCTTGTTTATTGAATTAACGAAATTTTTAATTTCTAAATAATTTCACTTCCACATTCCAGCAGTTAATACGTTCATCAAGTAATACAAAAAATTATACAGACTTTGCAACCGTTGGAAATGATATATTTGTAGTCTATAACTGTACAAAAAGAGACCTTAAAGCAACAATTTTGCTAGTGTAATTTCCATGGAAGACAGTGGAGATTGGAGCAAGACCCGACCCATGAATTTGTACATTCTCCACCACCATTGGAGCTTCCTCCACCATCACAACACCGGCAAACCACCCCAAGAGTGGAAAAAACCTTCGAGTCTTCTACTAATCAATTTTACAAATTAAACTGATTACTATAAAACGAACACGACCCTCAAATGAACTAAATAAAATCGTCATAATTAAGTGGAGGTGTCAATTTGGTTAGGCCCATGATCAATTTTACAAACTAACTTCTATAAAATGAACAATTAGATGGAACAAAGAAAATAGACACGATTAAGCCAAGGTGTCAAATTGATTGAGCCAGCACACAACTAAGAACCCATTAGGCAGACTTCCGAAAATTCGAAGGCTGTTTCTAAAATTAAGAAGTTACATTTGAGTATAGCATGTTGTTTCACTAGGAGTCTATTTGGGAATGATTTTGAGAATTAATTTTTTGATTGTTAGGAGAAAAGTGGAGTTCACCTGTGAGAGAAGAAATCAAATATGATGATTGGAATAGTGAAATAACAGTCAAAAATCAATTATTTGGAGCAAAAAATCGCTCCCTAATAAGCTGTAGAATAGATTTTAGATAAAACTGGTCTAATATAACTTTCTCAATAAGCTTTTATATAAAAAAACAGAAACAAAAGTAAAAATCCCGCCAAATGGGCCCTAAATCTCTGTGATTATATAAAAGATAAGAATACTGGTTTTTATTTTTTTTAATGCTTATTCTTACCTTGTTGAGGAGATAGGAAGGGGGCTGGCCCTGCCCTGGCTTCAGTGCAGCTGCTTTCTTGACATGCAAAACTGATTATAGAAAAAAGCAACACAAAGAACGGAGTGAGCCTAAACCAGCCCATGAACGTATTTCTGTATGTTTCTTTGGGTTTAACGTAAATTCGCAAAGGAATTCGTTTGTCTTACATTTTAGGCATTTCCAAGCAGATTATAATCTTTATATGATAGTTCATACTTGATTCTAGAATATGGGGCAGACAAACAGCCCCCCCCCCCCCCCCCCCCCCCCCCCCCCCCCCCCCCCCCCCGGGG